TCGGAGCAGCTGAGACACATTTTCTCTAAACACCGGGTCTCTGTGGCTTTTAAACCCCGAAACGCTGCGATCGAGTCCCCCGGCACAGAGTGATGTGGTGTACGCTGGAGGTCGGCAACCTTTCTGATGATGAGTGCCATCTAAAATTTCCTCAGAAGTCAAAGTGCCACATCAGCCATTGCATTAGCAATAAATGTAATAACGCTCTATATCAACAGTTACACGCTAGAACAGTTTTATAGAACTGCATTTGTTCACCAATGTTGGCAGATCATCCAATTTGAAAACACTTTTTCTCCATAACAAGAACACCAGCAGCAGAGGAACTGCACAGCAGCAAATGCAGATGCTATTTATGGTCTCTTCACAACAATGATGAGAGAAAATAAAGTGGACAATAGGGCATGTTTGTTAATACAGGGATGTTAATGTGGTCTCTGGTCTCCCACTCAGAGACACAGGTGTCCGAGTGTCCACTCTTCATGTGAGAGAAAAAACTGCCAGCTAGCAGCATCTCTCTCACCAGTAGGCTAAATGATTTTAGCCAATTACAAGCTGAATCTGGTAGTCGGGGTTGTTAGCTAAGATACCGTCATTAAGGAGCGGCCCAACTAATGTGTCTACACAAGTTAATTTGCGATGTGCACCGGTGGCCCGGCCATTTTTTTTTTTTTTAATGCACCTTCTCAGATGAATTCACTGCATGTCGTGGCATCAGTTAACCCTTCGCGCGCCAGCTGTCACGAGTGGCCCGGGTTGCTGACCCCTGGTGTACGCTGTTAAGTGCCAGGAGTATTGCCAGCATGCATCGGGGAAACCAAACAACCTCTGGCTACAACACAGAAGAGCCACCTCGTCAGGACTCTGCAGTCTGTTCACACCTACAGGCCAGTGGACACTCTTTCAATGATGAGGATGTAACATCCTGGACAGGGAGGAACGCTGGTTTGAGGGCGGAGTCAAGGACGCCATTTATGTGAAAAGGGAAAGACCATCTCTGAATGGAGGAGGGGCCTAAGGGTACATCTGTCACCATCTTACATGCTGTGATTGCAGCCATTCCCCAACTCTCTGTGAATGGGACTCATGGCCATTGATCAGTGGTTGTTGATCAATGATCATGAGAATTTGAATAATAATGATCGAGGAACTGACCTAAGTTGGTTCAGTGGGCTGGTTTAGGTCATTGTGTAAATGTGCTGTTGGAAACCTGCAGTCAGCTGACACAGATTCTCCCACTGTGGACTCTACGCCCTCTGAATTATACAAATGTACATTTAATTTCAACCAACACTAACTCCTAATCAGTCCCTTCCTCCTTTGTTGATCGCTCTCTCATTTGTTGATCACTGTCTCCTGCCTTGATCGTTGTCTCCTGCGTAGCTCGTTGTCTCCTGCGTAGCTCGTTGTCTCCTTTGTTGATCGCTGTCTCCTGCGTTGATCGTTGTGTCCTGCCTTGATCGCTGTCTCCTGCCTTGATCGCTGTCTCCTGCCTTGATCGCTGTCTCCTGCCTTGATCGCTGTCTCCTGCCTTGATCGCTGTCTCCTTTGTTGATCGCTCTCTCCTTTGTTGATCGCTGTCTCCTGCCTTGATCGCTGTCTCCTGC